ATAGAATTAAAAAAATACTTTACTTACGGTTCATCACATTTTAACCATTTGTCCTTGTTTTAACCAACATCGTCTTACCTTTTTTAATAGCACGATTTTATGTATGAAGGATTTGTTAGATGATATTCATCATCCTAACATTTTCGCATTTCTGCGAGCTATTGGTATTTTATATTGTATATAACTGTTTTATCTGATTTTATTCACTCTTATTTCCTACCCATGAACCGTTTTACCTTTCCTGTGTATTTTATAGAATTACGCTTTTATTGATTTTATGAACTTTTAAAAATACGTGTCTTGAGATAAACAATTTTATTCTTTTTTTTATTTTTTTATTTTATGACAATGAAACTATTGTGTGCAATTTACCATTAGATCTAACTCAACAAATTGTTTGGCGCAGCATATCCTCCTTTGGATCTTGTGCCATAAAACTTCTACATTCAATCAATCAACCTTATTCAAGTGTTTTAAGGCAAAATCATTGGTATTGATCTCCATTTTTCTAAGTTCATGAATCTGTTCTAAATTTAAATTATTCATTTGAAAATGCTCATCTGCAGTAGGTATCATAATGTCATTTTCCTCAATTTTGAATACTTTGCCAATTTTAGTACCTTTTATTAATAATTATTTTTTTGTCAGTATTATTTTCAATTAGAGTTGCAAAATCTTTACTATTAATTTCATTTATAGATTCATAAATTGTATACTTAAGTTTATTACTAATAGGGGAAAATAAGATTTGTCAACAATTGCTTATATCTTGAGATACAGTTAGTTTAATTAATTTTTGGAAATTAGGCTCAATTATTATTTTCTCGGGTGCACAAGCAATATTATCTTTATCTAACTGCACATTATTACATATATTATTTTATCACACGTGGAGTATCTTCAAAAAAATTCAAATGACTCGTGCCCCATAATTAGTTTCCTATTCGGTGTATCTAAAATGATTTTGTTATTTTGGATGAAGTCGTATCCTAAGATAATTTTATATTTGTAATGCCAAGAATTTTGAGTTTCAAAGAAAGTTTCATTAAACCATTTAGTATTGATTTTAAATTTGGATGAAATAGCTGACAAGTAAGGTATAGTGTTGTTATCCAGAGTATGTATTCTTACTGATCGAGATAAATAATTATCTTTAGTCTTTTCTTTTATTTCATTTACAGTTACAGGATCTATTAAACTCAAATTAGCACCAGTGTCTAATAAGGCGGGTATTAATTCTCCAAATTTTAACATTATGATAGGAAGAGCATCCGAAGTGTCATTATCATTACATGTCATAACATGCTTATTTCCTATTTCTACTTCATTTATTTCTTTTAATTTATCATTGTTTTGATTCATTTTATTTCTAATTATCTGACTACTATTTAAATTATGATTAGAATTTGTCACTTCCTGATTTTTTTTATCATCATTATCTAAATTAAAATTTTTATGCTTGATATTACTATTAACAAATATCCTACTTTTATATTTTTTGTCATTATGTTTTGTTTTGACATTTTGTCTATAGATTTCCCTCTTTTTCATTTGACTTTAACTCATTTGATTTCTCATTGGTTCTTGTAAACCCTGTATCCTTCCACCTGTTACAAGAACCAGCGATCAGTTTAAATTATTCTGTCACCTATCTCTGCTGTTGTAACCTCTATGTCTAAAGTTCCTATTAAAACCTCGCCTGAAATTGCTACGACTCCTATCATAAGGTGTTGCTCTATTGCTGTTATTCCCACTTTTGCCTGGATAGTACCAGCAGTCGGTAGTCAAGTGATTTTTGTTGCAAATATGGCAACTTATTTTGGGTTGAACAAAGTTTCTATTTCCTGAGATATTGTTTACAGCCTTGTTTTTAGTTAAATCCTCAATTTTTTGTGTTAATTCCTCTATCCTGCGATTGCTTTCCATTTGATTTTTTAATAACATTTCTACATCTATTGTTTTAGTTACATTAGTCACGTGATTTTCACTAATTGCTAGTGCATTCTCCACATCCCTTGCTATTTTGCCTATATCCTCAAATCTTGTGGCTCCCCTTTTCATGACTTCAAGTCGAATATCGGGTCTCATACTGTTTAACAATTTTTGAGCCTTCATTTTTTAGCCAAATTTAAAGTTTCCTCACTACTTTTATTATTTATTTCTAAGTACTCGTTTGTCGTCTTATCGACCTCTTCTATTAAATGTTTTATACTTTGATTTGGACCTTGCATGAGTGTGTTAAATTTGTTCTGAAGCTGCGTATAGTTTGGTTTTTTTAGGAATTTATCTTTAAGTATTTTTACTATTTTTTCAAATTCATTTGTATCTTCAGTAGTAGCTTCACTTACAATTCTTAAGTCCTCTCCTGCTAAATTGAGTTTAAGAATTAGGCATTTTTTAGTCTCATCCCATTTTTCTAAAATGGCAATTTGCTTTAAATTAAAAAAATTTAAATTTTCCTCTTTACTACCCCTGAAAGTTTGCAGCGAATTCGCTAAGGAATATGCAGATTTAGCCACAGTGTATTTCAAAATCACAGAAAATTTACCGAATTAATAGCTACCTTAAAATATCATCAATATATCAACAATCAATAAATAGCATACAGTTATGAAAATCCTACTGATATACCAAAAAAATATACCCATATAACTACTCATTACTTGAAAATACATATAAAATACACTGTTTATTATATTACCAAAATTTTTAGTTTTCCATTTGATGACATTTTATTTTCATTCTAAATTATGTAACAAGTGTTGAAAAATAGGGGCCAGCTTACTAAGTATAAGATATTGAAGACATCTATTACTACTCAAGAATTCACTTCATGGAAAAGGTACAACTATATTTATTGAATATAAATCTTTAAATATAAAGTTAGAAAAACTACATTCAAATAAACTAAACATAACTCTTTAACATCACATAGCTCTTTCTAAACATAACATAAGAGAAGAAACATCCTCTAACCAAAGCAAAGATATAACTAACTAAAGCCAGAAACACCCACTTCCTTCTAGCTGAGATAACAGGAAGTGACCCGACTTCCCCTAGGAAGTGACCCAACTTCCCACAGGAAGTGACACAGCCAAGAGGAAAATACTGTTTACATTTCTATTTGTTTACATTTTCCCCAACAACAAGAATGTTATTACCTAGCATACATATACAGATTTACAAAATGTCTTATCAAAATATTGATTAATACTAATTAAAATTATATGTACTTCAATAAAATATAAATTAAATGATATATGCAGACTTAAATTATGTATCAAAAAAGATATATATTGCATTAAAATATATAAATGATAAATAACATCAAGATGATCAATATAATAATTATTAAAACCAAATAGTATAAATTCGTATATCCAATAGGTATATGTGAGCATTAAAATATCACCATATTCAATCAAATAGTTCAAAAGTTTTGTGTATATATGAGTATAAACATTTTATAATACTTTCATTTACCAGAATTCATTCTGTATTAAAATCAAATCATTTCTTCATATTGATATTTTTGTCAAAATATTTTTTACCTTATATATAATGAATTTTAAATCAGTTTAAATATTACTAGGAGGCTTCGCTCCCTGCTCGCTAGCGCTCGCCAACCCCGAAACTGCTTTCACAGTTCATTTCGGATTGCTTCGCAATCCGATGCTCGCTTTGCTCGCTCATTGGATACGTTCTTAATGTCTAGCTTTTGTATACTCTTTTGAACACTGAAGTTCCGAAAACTTTTCACTGTAGAAAATTCTAAACCTGTGCATTTCAATATTAATCTGAAATTGCAAACAGTTCACATATTTTTCTTATTCACACTATTCTATTGTTGAGAAAAGTAACTGTTGTAAGTTTTGTTTTAAAGTCTTTCACACCAGAGGGCTAAAACCACGTGTTGTAAAACAATATGAAATAGTACTGAACGACGGATGTAAAGCATCTTCTTCGATGAAGATAATTTTATGAGAATTTTTTTGATAATTCGGTGAGAATTCACCCGATTAGCCATATGATGCTCACTACGTGCTCTTGCGCGCCGAAGCCTATCAATTAAAAATGAAAACTGTTGACAACGCGAGAAAAGAAATATCGGTTTTATTGGTACATACGTATTAGCGTTTTATATAATATAGATGTTGATATCACCAATAATCAAATTTTGTTTGAGAGAGAGCGAGGTACAATATTAAGATTAACTATTTTAACATATTTTTGTGCACAAGGCACTGAGTATTAAAAATTTGAAAATATTTCAGCCATGAATTAATTTTAAAGCCAAAATTTCCAGAGATTTTTCTAAAAAAAAATATTTACTCTTAACACCAGATTCGAAACCGCGCGACGGCATCATATATTAAAGTTTATGGTATTAAAGTAGATAACAGGATATTAACAATGAGAAATTAGTACAATTAAATATTAAAACTTAATCAATTTAACCGTATTATAAAAATTCTATCTTAATATAGGATACAATCATCCTAATCAACCTAACAATTAACTTGATTAATCTTACTACCACACGTGGTGGTTAAACCTAAAATATTTAGTGATAGTAGAAAGCTATAGGATATCTCTGGAAATAAAAAATCATTAAATTTAGATAATACTCAAATAGGCTGAAATGAAAGACAAACATAAATCTAAGAAAACGACAAATGAAGAATAACTTACAAATATTTATTCCAACATCATCATCCTCAAAATCACACGCACATTAAAAAATTATATATCGAGAAATAGAAGAACTTATGCACTCATAATAGATTACTCATTTTGATTTACTAATCAGATAACTAGAATTGAGGATCAATAAGGATCCTGAATAGTATTTCAATTCCTTTGTCCTTTTTCACCACCATCTCAAAGAGAACAACGGCAGGCCGAAGCCTCCGCTACTCACCGAATCAGACCATCATTTGCCATCTCAAATTACTTGCAAGGGACGCTTCACACTGTCGTTGCCATCACACTGAAGGATGAAAAATACTTCCTTCCCCAATTCTCAATGTAGGTGTCTCTGTCCTCTCGAGTTGGAATTCGGCTTCTGCCTAGAATTCTGACCCGAAGTCTTTGAAATCTGAAGTCTTTTTTTTGATTGTCACTTTCAAATAATTTACTTTTTGATTTGCAGTTGGCTGTAGACCATGGAGTGTGAAAAGTTCAAAGTCTTATCAGTAAAAAATAAGAACAAATTGTACAGTCCGCAAAAAAAAAAACGAATCACCCTGAATAACTTTTGTTCTAATGAGAGAAAAGGAGACACA